TCATGACTGATCCGTGCTCCATCGGGACCAATAAGGAAACGGAGCGCGCGCGCGCGCGAGAGAGAGAGAGAGAGAGAACTCTTACATGGCTGCATGCGCGCTACACCGATGAATCCAACGAGTCGATTGCGTGGTCGAAAGGCCCAGGTGACCTTCCTAAGGTTCATCGTGTCGGGGATAGATTGTTGTAATTATCGATGTTGAACGAGGAATGCCCAGTAAGCGCGAGTCATCAGCTTGTGCTGATTACGTCCCTGCCCTTTGTACGCACCGACCGTCGCTCCTACCGATTGAATGGTCTTGTGAAGTGTCTGGGTTGCGGCGATCTTGGCGGTTTGCCGATGGGGGTGCACGTGGCATGCTGTGCGTGGGGGGGATCGAGGTTGTGAGTGGTGCGAAGGACATACCTGTTGTGTGAAGCTTGCGGCATTGGCCGCCATATGCCCGTACTTCAGATAGTTGTTGTTGTCATCCTTCGGCAGTGTAGATATAGGCTAGACAGGATGTGCCATCAGTAGTCTGGGCGCTGAGCGCTGGATAGGACTTCGACATTGGTTCTACATCGATGATGAAGAGATTATACCAACATTGTCAATTTAGAGTTTTTGTTGTTCTCTTATTTGGTGGTACTCGCAATGTTACTGTGCTCTTCGTGCGAGCTCACAACTATATGGTCACATCTGTATGATGCTGTTTGATTTCTGAAGATCGCCGTCAGCCATCTTTTTTTGTTCTTTTCTTTTCTTGCACTTATTATTATTATTATTATTATTATTATTATTATTATTATTATTATTATTATTATTATTATTATTATTATTATCATTATTATTTGCACGGTAGGAGGGTACATGTGGCATTTGTGTTCGAGATCGAGGTTGTGAGTGATAGGGGAGACATACCTGATGCTTGAGGCGAGTGGCATTGGCCAAGATCTGCTCGTACTTTAGGGGACTGTTGACGTCATCATCAGCATTGTAGTCCGGTATAGATAGGATCTACCATTGCAGTCTGGGGGGCCGAGCTCCAGATGGCCGACGACATTGGTTCTGAGTGATGATGATGATGATATGAGGATACTTACCTTGTACTGGCGATGAGCTGTATGGGCGACATCTTCAAGTACTTCGGGCTGCCGCTGATGTCAAGAGCTGCATTGTCTGTAGTAGTTGTATGGGGGTAGGCTGTGCGCTGAGCGTCAGGTAGGAGAGTAAAGGGGACTGGACTTTGCATTGGTATGCTCTCCACGAACATTGGTTTTCAGTGCTACGAACTTCTATTGGTGTATTATCGGTCCAATGCTGCTCTTTGGACAAAGTGTGACTATTTGGTTTGCAGTGTGATGGTGTGATCTGGGATTGCTATCTCGCTGTTGCTTATTTTTCCTCGTTGCAATATTTTAATAATTCCTATTATTATATTATTATTATTATTATCATTGTTATTATTATTATTATTATTATTATTATTATTATTATTATTATTATTATTATCATTATTATTATTATATGCACGATTGAATAAGGTGCATGTGGCATCTGTGTAACGAGGTTGTAAAGGGGGAGAGGGACGTACCTGGTGGAGAGGAGGTTGGCATTGGTGTTAACATCATTACTCGCTGGTCGTCTAGTGGTCTGGTTGCTTCCATGTTGTAGTGTAGTATTAGGCTGTCGAGTAGATAGGGCGCATGGCGCCATTCAGAAGAGGGAGCTACATTGGGTTATGTTGTTGGTGTTGCCCTGTTRGGCTTGAACCTTGACTCACGATTCTTCTGTATCATTCTCAAATGGGATGGTTACTCGGTTCGATTGGCTATCTGCTCTTCTTTTGACTACTTGGACTTCAGTGTGATTTTGCGATTTGGATTTTGTGTGCTTCGTCCACGTTCAGTTTCCTTGCATTTTTATCATTATTATTATTATTATTATTATAAGTATTATTATTATTATTATTATTATTATTATTATTGTTGCAAACAGACCCGTTCGCATCCACACCTCTCCTGCATGTAAACAGTAACACAACAAATTGGCGATGAACACCTACTCAATACTCAGAGATATGGCTTTCAAGTAAGAGTTCACTTCCGCTGGCTATGGCGACTCAGCGTTCAACAAACGCACTGTTCACACACACCGGACCACCTAGGATACTGCACACACGATGGTGCAATCAGGCCCGGTTCATTCACACTTTTCATGCATGTGAACAACAGCACAGCAAACTGGCAACTAGCATCTGCTCAATGCTCAGAGATGCGGAAACCCAAGTGCGGGTTCAGTTTCAACTAAGCTATGGCAACTCAGCGCCCAAACAACCCTCTGTTCGCATACGCCGGATCACCTTGGATACCCCGCACGCACGCAGTAAGGCGTACACACACATAGAGTGAGACTGTGGTACACATACAGTGCACGGTAGCGCAATGCACAGTCACACACATGTGCACGGTGACTGTCACTCAGATACGGAAAACTCAGTGATACGGACACTGTGACAC